AAATGACTTCAAGTACTGGAGCAAGTTGCTTAGTATTTGGAGGTATAAATTTTATTAATGAGTGGTATTTTTCAATTATTTATTTAAAAGTCCTTACAAGAAGACAAGGCTTTTATGTCCTATCAGACATAAAAACTAATAGCATGGTACTGGATTAGGAGTAGGCCGTAAATTCAAAGAACAGACTAGAAAATGTGTAAGTGTATGTATGTGTGCGTGCACTTGTGTAAGTGTATATATTTAATATTCCACAAAAGTAGAATATTAAGTAATTATATGAAATAAATGTTTATGACAACTAATTGATTATAAAAATAATGTTTCTTCTATCTCATACCATAAAACAAGCTAAATTCTAGACCAGTCAAAGACTTAAACTTTTTTAAAAATGAAAATGCAAATCCCAGGGCTTGGGGTTGGGCTCAGTAGTAGAGTATGTGCTCAGCATGGGCAAGACCTTGGGTTAAACAAACAAAGGAAAATTATAAAACTACTGGGAACAAAAGCTGTAGAAATATTAGAAATGTTATCATAATGTTGGCATGGTGAAACCTTTTCTAAGAGTAGCACAAAACCTAAATAAGAAAACATTAAAACATGGACAATTTTGTACCCTAACATGCATGAGAAAATAACAAAGTGTTATGAAATTAACTGGGAAAATTAGACACATGAATATGGAATTGCACATTGAAGTTACTGATTTTACTTTAAAGTATTACTTAAATTATGAAATCTCACATTATCAAAAACTTTAGAAAAAGATAAAAATCTCCCATAAGTATAACACAATGATTATTATTTCAATTTTTTTCCTTCTAATATTTTAGAAATTTTATTAAAATATTTCATGGAATGCAAAATTAATTTCTTTAAAGAACACAATTTAGTAAGCTTTAGTATATTTACAAGATGTACAACCAAGGATGAGGATTTGGTTCCTGCCTTGTAAGCGTGTGGTCGTGAGCTCAATCCCCGGTACCAAAAAAGAAAGATGTTCAAGATGTACAACCATCTCCACTCACTAATTTTACACATACATATAATTTTATACATGCATATATATTTTTTGGTACTGGGATCGATCTCACGACCATGCGCTTGCAAGGCAGGCGCTTATGCCACTGAGCTAAATCCCCTGCTTCACTTGCTGATTCTAAATCATTTTCATCATCCCCTCTTACCCCAAATGGTAACCCATTAGCAGTTTCTTTCCATTCCTCCTAATTCTTCTTTGTGTCTCCATTCACCATTTTTGTCATAGGTATACTTTAAACCTAGTTGATTATAGAAGTCTTCTTTGTTAAATTTGTTTGGGGGGGATCTGTTTTTATGTTGTTGGACTTTTCTTTTCCTGAAACAGGGTCTCGCTATGCAGTTCAGGTTGGCCTGGAACTCACTATGAAGCCTAGGTTGCCATTGAATTCATGGCAATCGTCCTGCCTCCCCAGTTCTGGGGTTAGAGGCATGCAACATCACACCTGGCAGTTTAATAAATAACCTCTCAGAAACAAATTTTCCATAAATGAATAAATCATTTTCTAATTCAAATATAGAGAAATCATTTCAAAAATGTTTACAAAGAACAAAAATAACACAAACAAATGAAAGTAAATCAACCAGGCATGTTTATACACTCCTGTAATTCCAGCACTGGGGAGACTCTACATGGGAGGATCTCTGCAAGTTAGAGACCAGGCTTGGTTACAAAGTGAGCCCAAGGATAGACAGCCTGAACTGCATAATGAGACCTTGTCTCAAAAAGACAGTCAATCAATCAATCAATCAATCAATCAATAAAGCAAATAAAGGATAATTTCAGATATAAATTAAAAGATGAAGATGTAAATAATTTGTTAGCCAGCATGCAACGTAAGTCAAGAAATGGACTGTTGAGAAGACTTGTTCTTGGGTTTGATAGTTTTAATATTGCATGTATTGTATCCAGAAGTAATTTTTCTCCAGAGCTAGATATACTCAGTGCAGGGCTTCACATATAGCAAGTGTTCTACCACTGAGCTTTAGCCTTTCAGGAGAAAAAAGTCAATGATGTTGAAGGTATTGTGAGAATTATGAGTGTTTGGCTGCTACATTTTGCCTCCATCTGATCCCTTTGCCTTCTTGCCATAAACCCTAGACCAAATCTAACTCTTTTAACAGCTATGTTTTTTTTAATTGTTCTGCATGTTACTTCCCTATCTCTAAATAGTACAGTCATATTGCCACTTCTTCATTTATCAAAGAGACTTTATCTCAGCTGAAGACTTCCTTCCTATTCTGATAGATGACAGCTTAGATCACGTACACAGGCCTCTCACCCAGCGTGGATGTATCATTGTTTTTAGTTCCTCTATTATAATTTTAGGTAACTCACTTACTTTAGCTCTTTTTTTTTTTAGTTGGTATTGGGATTAAACACAGGACACATGCAACAGAAATGCTTTATCACTGAATTATTTCCCAGTTCTTTTAATTTTAGTTTCACAGGATCTCACTAATCCCCTAGCTCACACCAGATGTGCTTCATTTTACTGAGTGGCTGAGATTACAGGCATGTACTTACGCAACCATATTTAATTTTGAAGGGCAGTGTCCTTGTCCAAAGAACATGAGCAGTACTGTTCTCATTCTAATTCTGTTATACACGTGACTGTGCTTTCTGTTTTGGTAATGACAATCTGCTTCGCTCAGAACCCCCACTTGGTAGAGGTTCTCTCTCTATTTCCATACTTCTCTCACTGCTGTTTTCTGTATGATCTCAATAGGGTGCATAAAAAAGTTAAATCAGCACAATGGAATAAGAAGTCTCAATAGCATTTTAAAAAATTGTGAAATAGTCCACGCACACAGGCAAGAATCAAAATTAATAAAGGAACACAAATCCAGTCATCACTTGGCTGTATCAAATCCTAACATATTTGTTCCCTCGCTTAAGGGAAAAAAAAAAAAAAAAACCTTCTCAGTCCAGTGCAGTGACAGCCTGTGTGTTACACTGTTTCTCTTTTATTTGAAGGTTTACCCTGATATCAAAGCCTTTCTCATTACCTCATCATTTATTATTCTACCACAAGATTTTATATTTTGACATACAATTTTGCCTACAAAAGGATATTTTTATAAGTACAATGGAAACTAAATGTTCCCAGAGCATGAGTCACAAGGCACAAAGTATACCATAAAAGGGTGAAGAGAATAGCTTCCAAGTATAAGAGGGATTACGGGTGTACCAAAGAAAAGAATTAGGAAGACTGCTTTTAATAATTCTGCATCAAGACAGATCTTGGATTGGACTATGCATGCAGAGAAATAAAGGGCTGATGGTGAGGAGGACGTCCTCTAGCAGCCTCTTCACTCCACTCATGGGGTGGCTAGAAGGGGACCCGGGAAACGTGGCACAAGGTTCCCTAAACCTACAGTGCTTAACAGTACAAAGCACACTGCAAAGAAATAAGATACAAAGAAATGACAAGGATTTGCATACTGACCCCACTTTCAGTCTATGCAAAATTTTATGCTGGAACAAATAACAGAAACAAGTTTTAAACATTTAAACCCTTGAGCACATACTACAGAAGCAGGGGCAAGAGGACAAAAAAGAATCTGATAAAGGTACAGCCATTAGAGGCAAAAGAATACATTCATATCAACAGCATGAGGATATGAATCAAGAAAGCATTCATTTTCTTTGTTAGTAAATAGATTTTATTTTATTTTTCTTTAGTTTTTGTTAGCAGTGCTGAGGACAGCACCCAGACTCTTGTGTATGCTAGCCAAGTGTTCTACCACTAAGCTATGTCACCAATCTGACTATATATTTACAAGAGAATTTCTATAAAATCACCCACAATTCCTAGTTATTACTCAATTACTGTACAATAACTTTTTGTTTCTTCATAATCCTTTCTAATTTAATTTACTTGTCTATAGATACATACAAATGTATAGTATATATAAAATGTTATCATTTTAATTATAACGATCACAATTTGGTACACTACATTTAAAATTTAATGTTTCCAATAATACAATTTCATTCATTAGACTTACTATTATAAATTATGTAATGAATATTACTGTATTGGGTACTAACACAAGTCGGGGAATGATCCTCAGGAAAATTAGAGTGTGACCATTTTTTTTAAAGTAAATATGGGGGTTTGGAAATTATCTTGATTGTTTGGTCTTTTTTTTTGCTTCTATGAAATCACATAGGTAGCCTTTAAAGACAAGAAAGGAACAAGCCCAAAGTTAGTCACATAAATGGTGGTAAAGTAAAAGTGGATGCATATGATCTATAAAGAAAGACTTACTCTTTAATGTATTGCTGTTTCTAACATAATTGCAATAATATCCTATGTTTATATGATGCTGTGCAGTTTGGAAAGTGCTTTTGTGGCTTTTGTAATAGAAAGGATGTGAGATGAGTTTCCGCCAGGACTGGTCCACCACCCAAGAGTAGGTATAGCATGATGAATAGGTAACTTTCTCTTGTTTATATCCAGCAATTTGGGAGGATGCTTACTAGAGTGGTACAGAAAATAGGTTTTTGGTTCAGTCAAGGAATCTTTCTCAGGTACTATGTCAAGCTTGCTTCCTATGAAAGAGGTGAGTACAGTAAGTTCCTTTTTCTTGGATCACTGTGACTCTGATCCACTGAAGAAAGGACAACACTTAGGCTGAAACAGAGAGCTCCAGCAAATATGGTATAGTTTTAAGAGGCAATTCTCCTTTGGGCTAACAAAAGAGCAACACTGAGCAGAGAGCATATGTTCAGGGTAGAAATCACATCACCTTACAAAGTGCAAACCTATTTGCAAATCACTGAATCACTTGGAGCTTTGGAAGTAGGCTACATATAAGACCACCACAAAGGGCCTCTCCAGCACTCTCTCTCCTAGGGATCCTGGTACACATTACTGGGTCTCAGGCTGGATGATGCTGGCCAATTTGTAAGTCAAGCATGATGAAAAAACACAAAGTGGAAAATAAAAATGAGAGTCTTATAAAAGCAGGTAGTACTGAATTTAATAAAAAGATAAAAAGTCATATATATATATAGATAGATAGATATACGCATATATGAAATGAAGATAAGCAGAACCTGGTTTACTCATATATATGACTATGTATGTCACTTAACCATGGTGATACATTGTCATTAGGCAATTTTGTCACTGGGCAAGCATCATAATAGTATGTCCATATGCCACTGACATACAGTTCAACATTGACTGAAATGTTGTTATATAATACCTAATTGTATAATGCTTACTGATTCAAGTTTCAGCTTATGCTAAAGAAATCATCATTTATGATATAATATATAAGAAAAACTTTAAGTATTTAAGCACTTGAACTCATGCTAGGGAATCAGGAGCAAGAGTCACAAAAGAAAACACGGGATTTCTTATATATGTTTGTATATATTTATACATGTATACATGCATACACATGTACAAGTTTTCACACACATATATATATACATGTGCATATCTGTATATACATACTTTTGCCATATACATAGGGCAAACTGAAAATGTCAATAAACTCTATAATTTTTTCATCTTCACATAATTGCTGGTGAGAATCAATATGAAGATGATGATTAGTACCGGTATTTCCCATGAGAAGGCTTCTCTTACTCCTTAGCTACAGTTGACCACCTCCATTTTATGATTGCAAGTACTTTTCATCTGTGTGGTTATTTTTTTAGCATCAACCACTAACACAGTGTCTGTCTCGTTCATCTTTTCCCACTGGGCTTATTGTAGTCTGTTATTCATTTTTCTCCAGCATGCAATGCAGCATTTGGCCAAGCTGTATACTCAGTGCAGCTGTGTAGAAACTGGACTACACCAACCACAAGGAGATCAGTACCTTCTTTCTTCTCAAGCAGTTCTAGCTGCTTTGTTCTCTCCCTTATGCAAAGCATTAATGGCTATCATGACACATGCACAGGGCTCTCTTTTATTATCTCCCACAGGGGAATAATTTTCACGGGTTTTCTGTTGAAGCTAAGATACCAATTCTTCCCATGTTCTGTTAAAAAAAAAAGGTAAACACTATTAAGAGATCTAAGATTGAGATAATATAGAAACCATTGTTCATTTTCTGTTAGCTGGTTCTAAATATCCTGTAATACTTTCATTCTCTTGAATGGTTTTTACACTGTCTGGATATGTTTGATGCTACAGTATATGAAGTTATACTCAAATATTTCAAGGAAAGAAACACTATGGTAACTAGTGTTATGTCGGGTTATCTTGTAGTGAAGCACTATGTTGTTTAAATTGTTCTGTTCTGACCTGTGTTGTTATGTTGCTATGTCCTCTTTTATCTTAATCTCCTTCTTTTTTTATTTAAAAAAAAGAGATCTAAGATTGAGACTGAGTATAAAACCTTTTACTGCCAAGTGGGGAACCTAGATCAGAGAAAGGCATATTCTATAAGACTTTCTGGGTGGGATTTAAGAGAAAAAGGGTCTATGGCCATAGCACCCTGAACGCAACTGATCTTGTCTGATCTCAGAAGCTAAGTAGGGTTGGGCCTGGTTAGTACTTGGATGGGAGAAAGGGGGTATGAGTCCCAGTAACAGAGAGAGGAGAAGAGAGAGGAGAGGGGAAAAGGGAGAGGGAAGAGAGGAGAGAAATCAAGCCTAACTTGGACTCAGTAGGCCACAGTGATGCTCTCAGTACTAAGCAGCTGACAAGGCAGCTGGTTATGACATAGAGGGCCAGATATTTATCCTGACTCAGACTGTTTCTAAATCTTAGGGTGTCACTCTGCTAAGTAATTCTGGCAGAGTTAAGAGAACTGACAAGCTGTAAAATACTCTGGCTAGGACGAAAGGAGAAGAAAAAGTGAAGAGAAAACAGTTAAAGGTTGAAAGTATTGAAGTTTTAAAAACTTAAACTAAACAAGTTAACTAACCAACTTTTTATTTGGTTTTGATAGTAGGAAAAAAAGATACATCATTGCATGTGGTGGTGCATGCCTGTGATGCCAGCACTCAAGAGTCAGATACAGGATTGCCACAAGTTCAAGGCCAGCCTGGACTACATAGTGAGACCCTATATCGAAAAAGCAAAACAAAACAAAAATGTACATTAAAACATATGATCTAGAAATTCCTTTTATGCTGGAATTCACTAAAATTCAAATGAGGCAATACATCTGAAAGTATTTTAAAAGTATAGAGCAGTATACAGATAGGAAGGATTATTTGTATAAGAAAGCTTTTACCAAAAAAACCTGAAACAGAACTTTTGCCTCCTCTTTAAGAACTGGGATAGTTTTGAGAGCTGTTTCTTGTTGAAAACCATATCATGTTTATTTCCTCACTTTGGCAGGATCAGGTAGATAACAGAATTAGCCTTCAGGAAAACAAATTCTCTGGGATAATATGAGATTGCAGAACCCTTCCCTGAACTGTGTCCATGAAGGTTGGATTGCACTTTTTATAGTATTTTGAGAATGTAATATTAATTAAACATTAATAGCACACCTAGAGATTGTGGTAGTAAAAATTTTTGGCCTAGAAGTTGATTTTCTCTCTCACAAGTATTCAGTCTGCTTCTATCTCAGTTCTTTCTGTCCTTACAAGACCCTGTCTGCATTTTCTCATTCTTTCTGTCCCACTTATCTCTCTCATAGCATTACCAGGAGACATGCCATTTTACTGTTTCTTTCTCCTAAAATGGTCCATTTGATTATCTTAAAGTATCTGAGTATACATTGTGTCTTCTTCCTTACTTCTTTTCGCCCTGTTCCCTTATTCCTACCCTTTCCACCTTAGAACTTCCAGTTCTAACTATAATTTCAAATATAGAATATTTTGCTGGTCCTCCAACGTGAGAGCTTAAAATGCCCCTAATTACACTGTCTCCCCCACTGCTTTCTCTCTGCTGTTTAAAAGCAGCATGACAGCCGAGTTTGCTTGACTCTCTTTTGATCTGCCATGCCATTTTTTCTCTCTTTCTTCTTTTTCTTTCTTTTTTTTTTAATAAGGTATTTCTATGTTATTCAGGCTGGTCTTGAACTCATGGCTCGAGTGATCATTTTGTCTCAGCTTCCCAAGAAGCTGGGACTTAGGAATATATCACAACGCCCATTTGTCATGCTACTTTAAAGAATCTTTGGCTTAGAAGACTCTTGGTTAAGTAATGGCCCAGCACCACGTCTGTCTAAAAGAATTGCATCACAGGCCAAGCAAAAAGGCTTTGTCACAATGGGCTTTAGTATCCCAACAGGACAGGCTGCTATTTAATGTTTGGTAGAAAACTAAATTCCAGTTTTATATGTCTAAACATTTCCTTCTATTTTGTAAGATTTTAGGTTCTGACTTTAATTTGGGCTTGTTCACAAGTGCACATTAACATAACTCTATAGATTATCCTGTTTCCCTTGGTCCAGAATAGGGTTATTGAAGTAAAATCAGTTGGTGCTTGTCTTAGTTACTTGTATTCATTGCTGTGACAAAATACCTGACAGCCAAATTTAAAGAAAGAAACGTTTATGTCACTCATAGTAGCAGTTTCAGTCTGTAACCACTGGCTCCAAGGCAGAATGGCCTGGCAAAGGGGCATCCCAGAGAGGTAGTTTGTGGCAGGCAAAAGGTAGCAAAGCATGCAAGTGAAGCCCCAGTGATGAGCCTCTTTCTGCCCCTTCTATCTTACCCAGACCACCCACACGTAGAGCGGGTAGCACTCACACCCTTAACCCTAATGCCTTTAATCCTAGCATTGTACCGTGAATCAGTCCCAGTGTCACACACCCCAGATCCTGCCACCTCTGAAAAGCTCCATCTATGACTTCATGGGGCTTTGGGTGATATCTGGACATAAGCCATAAAAGTGCTTTAAGCAATGCTCCTGAGCAATTTCTTGGGTACCCTCAAATTTGACACATAGCTAAGAAGATGTGTTGAAAAAGAAGATAGGTAGATGTGGCAGGACAGTCATTTGAACATTACCCACTTTTTTGCTCTCCTCCCATTTGGTCTTACCTGTTACTCTGATTCCTCCTCTCATTCTCAGTATTTAGGTGACTTGTTATCTTGTCTTTATTGCCTCAAGAAAGAAACAAAGGAAAGCAGACTTAATAATTCCTGGTTTTTTTCTTGCACATCATAATAGACTTTGAAACCATAAGTAGAAAAGCAGTGAAAAGAAGAGATACAAAATTAAGCTTTTGCAATTTCCAAGTCAATACCTTAAAGGGACTCAAAGCTTGGCATGTACACAGCATGTAAAAGCCAGACTTTTCTCCTTCCCCAGAATAGATGATGCTCTGGAGTCTGTATCCAGGATAGCTTTGACAGCCTCATGAAGACCGTCTGCAAGGTAGATTTCTGGGTTAAGAGTACTAGGGACATGGGTATCAAGGCTGAGGAAATAGCAATTACAGGGGTTAGACTAAGTTCTCACTGATTTCCAGCATGGAGTACACACACACACACACAGAGAGAGAGAGAGAGAGAGAGAGAGAGAGAGAGAGAGAGAGAGAGAGAGAGACACAGAGAGAGAGAGAGAGAGAGAGAGAGAGAGAGAGAGAGAGAGAAACAGAGAGAGACAGAGACAGAGAGAGACAGACAGAGACAGAGACAAAAACAGAGACAGAACATCCAGGAAGCTGGGACTGATACATCTCTTAAACACTAATTTCAGAAATGGATGAGAAGTGGTAAGGGAGAAAAATCTCAATAAAGTTTCTATCCTCTCTCGGCAATCAGGTAACAGGAAAAAACAGTTATGCATTTACTTTTATGACCAGAAACCTAAATCCACTACTCAGTGGGATCAGGACCTTTAGATTTAGGTTGAGTCTCTTTATTCAGATGTGTGTTCTAGTGGCTAATCTCAGCTTTTGTGAACCTTGGTTCCTCATTGTTAAAACAGGGATATTAATATTTGGTTGACTATAATAAATATAAATTTTGTAGAAGTAAAAATGGTTGAATATTGGAAATTTCCTTATTTCAATAGGAATAAGAAAAAGACTAATATACTAGCTGGTGTCCTGATAGTAAGTGCTTCATAAATACATAACTTACAAAGAAATCTATAAAAATATTTTTACGTAAAAACAAGTTATCTATTTCATTGCTAGTCACAACTACATGATCTACCTTGACACACAAAGAAATGTGCTACACTAATTCCCTAGGCAATTTCCAAGCCAATGCAGATGAAAATATAGCACAACTGTCACATTCCAACCACTGTCAACTTGACACCCAAACATATTTGCTTAAGTCATACTTAGTCTCCAAATAAAAAGAGGCCATAAATCTGCCTAACATGATGTAAATATCAAAAATACAATTAAAAAAGCACCAAAGTCCTCCCCAAACTCTCAACAATTGCATCATTGTTGCAAAGTACAAGTCTGATGTATCCTCTGAAATTCAAGGATAACTATTAGCTATCAACCCCTGAGAAATTAAAAAATAAAATTACTTAATCCCTACATACAATGGCATAGGGTCAACATTCCTTTAACAAAAAGGGAAGTTAAGAGGGATAGAAAACAGGACCAAAAGAAGATAGAAACCCAACAGAGCAAATATTTGATCCCATAGTTCCATATATAGCATTCTAGAAAAATAGTTATGAGATGTGAATTCCAGAATGCTTAGCCAAGACAGTCTCACCTCTAAGGCCTCAATCAGTTTGCAGCCCACATGGCCTCTCTAATGGGTTGATTCCTCTCACTGCTTACAGTTTTTCCTGACAGCAGTATCTTGTTCTTGACATCTCCATATGGAGTCTCCACTGCACCTTTGGCTTCATTCCCATAGATTCACCTACCTGCCTCTTAGGATACATTGCCTGGCATGCCACAGACTACCACAATCCAATGCTTAGGTTCCACATGTCATTAAAATCAGAATCATGCGAGTACCATGAACATCTGCCACCAGCACAAGCAGTAGACAGGTTCTCTTTGGCCATGGCTGCAGTGGCCTTTGCCTGGATGGTGGAACAGGATGAAACGAATTTGGGAGAACCAATTCCCTGCTCTTCTTGAGCAAGGTAAACAGAACCTCACTTCTCAAATGAAAAGTTTATACTTTTGTATCCTTGAATCTGTGACAGATAAACTTACTGATTCCTGAGATGCTTTCAAGGAATATTTTTTTTCTTGTCCTTGTTCAAAGTACTTGGTGTCTTTTTAATATCACTAATCTCTCTCAGTAATCATGACTCCTTTGGCTCAACTTCACACAGTTCTTTTTGGGCCAACATTTAAATTTTCTAAATACCTCTTGTTATGGTTGATATTGTGTCAACTTGAGAAGCTTAGAACTAAGTGACTTAATATGGAGCTAGGATCCTTACTTTGTAAATATTCTCGGCCTGTGCAAGAGTAAGGCATAGAGATTTTGCCAGTGCTACATCTGCCCTAGTGGGTGGGGGTGGGGGTGGGTGGAGGAGTGGCCTGAATACAATATAAGGAAGGAAAAGAAATTTGCTCTCCCATCTTGTTCTGGCTTGTTTTGCTGGCTGCTGCCTTGAAGTGTTGCCTGGGTGCCATGCCACCCTGCCTTGGAGCCAACTTAGTATGGGCTGAAACTTTCACAAACTGTGAGATAAATAAACCTTCTTTAATTTTGGGTGTCAGATCTTTTTATCCCAGCAATGAGAGAAAAGTAACTAAGACTTCAAATATAATTCTTTCTGGACCAACATTTAAGTTTTCCAAATGCCTTGGTTCTGCATTCCACTCCTGATTCTTATTGTACATTTGGCTCAAAATAGCTAGTATACTCATGCCACATCTTTAATGTTGGATTGCCCTGAAATTTCACCACCCTTAAACCCAGCCTCCCTTAAAGTCTCAGGACATGGGCAAAGTGAAGGAAGAAATTTTGCTGTGGTGTAAATGCATGACTTCTAGTTCAATTTCCAGTAAGAATCCTCATTAAGAACTCAAACTCCACAATCCTCTCCTTTACTGTCTACCTTCCTATCAGTATGCTGGTCTTCTGAGCCCTGACCAGAGTCACCCCTCAGGCTCTGCCTATAGCATTCTAGAGCTTCCTTCAACTTGTGCCTCCAACTCTTTCCAAATTCCTCCTTCAAACCAGTTTCAAAGGCTTCTGAACCACATCATCAAGGTATAGTCATAGCAACGAATAACCAGCTGAGACATTCAGAAATCCAGTTCCTTTGTATAAGTTCATGCATAGAATCAGTAGTAGGCTTGGACATGAATATGTTTATCTAATATTATTTTAAGTCTCATATTACAAATATGAACATTAAATGTAAACAATGCATTTTACCAGGTAAACAAAGCTCTTCCCTTGTTTTCTTGGCTTATGGGCAATAGAAGTCAGTTCGAAGTACCATCAATCCTCATTATTCATGTTCCATGCTTGTGAATATTTCTACTCATTAAAATTTGTATGGTCAGGCATGGTGGCATATGCCTATAAACCCTAGCACTCAGGAGGCTGAGGCAGGAGGACTGCCTAAGCTACAAGGTGAGTTCAAGGCCAGCCTGAATTGCATAGTGAAACCCTGTCTCAAAACTACAAAAAAAATTATTTGTAATCACAAAATCAATAGCTGCAGCACTTTTGTAATCATCTGCAGACATGTGTAGAATGGCAAAAATTTGAATTTTTGATGCACACATATTCCCATCTGAGTTCAAACCAGGCCATCTTCTGCCTTCATATTTAAACCTTCGTACTACACAAAATTGTCCTTTTTAATACTTATACTGTGCCATATGTTCTGCATTTTTATTCTATTTGGTGGTGAATCTGCTGTTTAAAATGGCCTCCAAGCATAGTTCTAAAGGCCATCTAAGGAGGCTAAGCATCAGCAAGCTGTGGTGTGTTTTATGGAAAAATGTGTGTTAGAAAAGCTACACTCAGTATGAGTTATAGTGCTGTCAGTGTGAAGTTCAGTGTTAATTAATTAACAATGTATATGACATAAAATGACTATAAACAGAGATCCACATAAAACAGGTATGTGAATGGTTGACAAAAATGTCAGCAGAGGCCATAGGAACCTAATCCTGTTTCTTCAGCAGCAAATGCTTCAAGATGTAATTCAGTGGTCACAGGGACTTCACAGAATTTAACTGCCATGAATGAAAATCAACTCCATTTTAAATTGTATTATATAAACTCATCTTTCCCATCATGCTTTTTAGTGTTTAGATCCACTTGATTAAAATTTTCCTTAAATAAGAAAGAGTTATACTATCAGATCCCACATTCTTGAGATAAGAAATTGAAAACAGTGTAGGTGATCAGATAATGAGGACCAAGGCCAACTGATCTTCTCTGTGAACACAAAGGAGAAAAACAGCAGGCCGTGTTCCTTTGGCACATGCAGGCATGCTGGCATGTTGCAAGCTCCAGGGAAAAGTAAACATAACTGAGATCCAGGTTTACCTGGGATATCCTGTAGGTAATAGGAGGCAGATGAATCTTCTGTTACCCTGATTGCTTGCTCCTGTCTAAGTCAATAAAAATGAGGTGGGACAAATGCTCAGGCTCTTTGTCCACTAAAGGCAAGAGCCTCCTGTTCTCCTCTCTCAACATTATCTGTCTTGTCTTAATCTCCATCTGCTTCCTCTGGTTAGGCATTCTTGGTAGGCTGGTTTCCTACAATGCAGTGTTTTAGTAAGTTCATTTTTGGAGGGGTTGACCCTGTGAGGAAGTTATTCTTGATATGAGAGGTTAAATGTTTTGCTAATGCCATAGACTTTGAGGAATTTAGGAAATAATATTGATGATATTTCAATAGGGCCCATGTTTGCATTTCCTTCAGTAATGTTTGTGTCTTTTGTTAGTGTTAAATAATAAATTTACAGTAATCTTCACTAGAAGATTACTTATGAGAGTGCCATCATGATGGTGTCTAGCCACACATGAGGCTGAGGCAGGAGGATCACTTGAGCTCACAAATTCAAGGCCATTAATGAGCTCCCATTTCCAAAAAACAAAACAGGGAAGGAAACAGGAAAAGGTAAAGAAGGGTAATAAGAATGATGAATATGATCAAATATTTTACCTGCATGTATACACGAATAAAGTAAAAGGAGAGGGCCGTGGGTGTAGCTCCATGGTACATCATGTGCTCAGCATGGGTGAAGGTTCTGGGTTCAATCTCAAGCATTATAAAAAAGACAAGGAAAAGTATGAGCGATTATCATTGTATCATTAACCTGGAACTCCACTTTATTTTGCAAATAGAAGACAACACAGTTTATGTTAATTTTTATGAAAATCAGAGGTTGTTTGCTAAGTTTTTTACTTATAACACCCAAATTTGCTGCCATTTATTTTTTATAATAAGGAGTAAATATAACTTCTTATGATTTGTAAAATGCAGTTTTTTTTGTAGGAGGGGAAACATAATAAAGTTTATTACTTTCTTATCATTGTTTTACAAACTTTGGGATCACTGCTCATAAAATAAAAAATAGCTAAGACAGCTTTTATACTTCAGTGTGAATGAGTTGACCAGATATTTTCTTTGCCAAAAATTGTGCCAAAGAACAACAGTGGTGCAAAATGGTGTGATGAGGATGAAGAGTTCAGAAACAGGTAGCAAATTAATTTATAATAAATGGTCATAAATGGTTATGGGCTGAAGTATATCTTCTCCTTCAAAAAAAGATACATTGAGACCCTGACTTCTAGTACCTCAGAATGTACTGTTATTTGGAGATAGGATATTTACAGAGGTAATCAAATTAAAATGAGATCATTACAGTGGACCCTAATCTGACTAATATCTTTATAAAAAGGGACTTTTTAAAATGGGCTTGTTGTTTACAGATGGGGTCTTGTTATGCTGCCCAGGCTGGTATTAAACTCTTGGGTTCAAGTAATCCTCCTGTCTCAGCCTCCTGAGATTCTGGGACTACTGGTGTTACACAGTACAGGGTTATACCAGGCCTGGTTTCACAAAGAGGGAATCTGGAAACAGATATGGACACACACAGACACACAGACATAGACACAGACACACACAGAATGCCTGGAGAAGATGAAGGTAGAGATGAGGGTGAAATAGCAGCAGTTTTGGAACATCAAAGATTGCTAGTGAGCCTCCAAAAGTGGAGAGAGGAGTACGAAACAGGTTCCCCTTCACAGTCCTCAGAAAGAACAAATGTCACTTAAACCTTGATTTCAGGCTTTTAGGCTCCCAAACTGTGAAACAATTGCGAACTGTTTAAGTCATCCAGTTTACTGTACTTATTACAGTAGCTGAAGCAAATTAACACATGATCAATGGTTAAAGAGTAAAATTGAAAGAATAAAGCTAATCATCCTTGTGGCTATTCCATTTCAACAAAATCAGAACAGGATTTGCTGAGACATGATAAACTAAATCCTGCCAATGGTCTTGAAACCACATCCTCAGTTTTCACATAGGACAAACATCTCATTATTTGAACTCTGTCCTGGATTCTTGCATGTAGTGACTTATTGCATGATTTATTACATGTTTTTATCATGAAAAGATCAAATTAATGCAACAAAAGAGCATGTGTTTCTTGGGGGAGGGCAGCAGGGATCTTTAGAGGCCTAGCAATGTTGAATGCATTTTCTTACCTACTCTGATGATGATTACATCTTTCTTTGCTTTGTGCAGGAAAATCCAGTTGGAACTATTTTGGAATCTGCGTGGGCATCATTTTCATACATTCTATTCAATTCCCCATGGTGTCCCTATTGACATGAGGTTGCTAAAGAATGAAAATAAGAACTAAACAGAAGTGGCTTTAAAGAAGCTATAAATGACACTATCCTCTTTGAATTATTTTCAATGAAATTTTTGTCAAATATTTTATACCTGCAATGAACATTTTGAGATATGAGGCTTGAAAACCTCTACAAAGTCTTCAGTAATTATGACAATTATTTTGCTCTTTACCTAATAACTTGCCATGCATTGCTGTGAGATGAACTTCTAGGAAATATCAGAACTTTCTTTGGGGGTTCAGTTGAAAGCATTTAACATCAAGAACAATTTACAAAGGTATGTGAAGGACTGAAAAATCAAAAGGAAGGAAGGATACTTCAGTAGTAGGAAGTTTCTACCATATATATATATATATATATATATATATATATATAGGCTGAAGGCAACAACAGTGGAGAGCTGGTTTAACAGAGCTCTAGAGCTTCAATTGCAGAGAAGTTATTGTGGAAAAGTTGCTTGAATCAAAGCAGGGTGCAGTTTGAGAAAATATGGTTTCTTCTCTTATTTTTTTTTTTTTTAATTTTTTGAGAAATGGCCTCACCATAGTCCAGGCTAGCCTTGATCTCCCCAGACAGCGATCTTCTTACCTCAGCGACTGGAGTGCTAGGATTACAGGGGTGGCCACCATACCCAGCTCTTCTCTTATTCTTCGAATGCTTTTACTTCAATTTTTTAATCTTTCCTAATTCCCTTTGGGTATAGATAAATGAGCCTAGGAAATAGAGTTGCCAGGAATCATCAGTACTGTACAGACCAGAATGGGAAGGGCAAAACTTGAATGGATCTGGGGGAAAACAGCCAAATGACCAGCTCGTCAAGCTAGCATAGGATGCTATGTGGGGCTTGGGTCAAACCAAATCAGAGAAGCCAAAACTAGGTGTTGGGCAAGTCCTGTGAACAAAAATAGCCCTAGGGTCAATATATAAGACTAACATACAGACATCATATGACAGGTAGGGAATCATAAACAATCTCCTGGAGGTTAGAGGAAACAAGGTACAGATTTTCAGGCTAATTAGGCCACATTGAGAAGATAGAACAAGTACATACAGAAGTAACAAAGTTACTAGGCTTAGGTGTAAGTCAGCACCCACACGTAGAAACTCATTCCAGATAACTTCCTCAAAATGTAGATACACAGATCTAATAGAGATCAAAAAAGGGTTTTTTTCCCCTTATTTTTTACCAAAGATTTTGATGATCCAAAGGTAACTTCCACGCCTTCTTGGAAATTGTATTTTGAAATAACTGATATTGACTTGCTGACTTATCAATACTCTTTGTCAAAAGAATAAAAAATAATTTAGAAGTGATTATAGTACGCTATTTTAAAATAATGTCTCTGGATCCATATAAGCTTACTTGAATAACTGAGTCGAAATTAAAATTAACTCAATTGGAAGTTTAAAAATAATTTCTGTAATAAACAAGCACTTTTTTGATGAAATCTAAATTAAAATGTGTAGGAGATGCCTATATCACTAATCCTGCATTAGTGATTGCATTAGGCAACCTGTAATAGTTTGGAAGAAAGGAATGCATTTTGCTTACTCTTTAATTCACAAAATGTGTTTTAGAAAATAATAATGGAATTGTGTAGATTACAGAAATGCAAATTTATAACTACCACAAAATTCAGACCGTAGGTCTATTCAGAGATAGAGGCCATTGTAACTGTAATTATCTAGGTAATTAATATAATTCACTTACCTAGAAATTGTTAGCAAGCATCAAATACACCTAGGAAAAACATGCAGATGAACTAGTTTCTGGCTTCAAGGCATTGAAAAACCAGAAGAAAAAAAAACCTACCTACAGGGCTCTGAAAGATAATTACTGGCAGGAGGCCACAAGTAGCACAGGAAGCGCCCCAGGCAAGGTGTGGCCAGTGCATTTTTGGATTCCCAGGTCTGAGTTTCTCCATCTTGCTTAGGCCGGTCCCAAGCCTCTGCTTCTTGCCTGTGGTAAACTGCGGCTGGAATTCTCACCTGGAGCTAACAGCGCTGTTGCACACCCAGCAGTATTTCCTGCTTACCGCGCACTCGCAGGTCTTAAAGGGCAGACTTCACAAATAGATTCCACCCTGCTTTACTTCCCACATCAAAGTGATGATCCAGTCCTGTAAACTATTTCTGGGAAACCTTTCTGAATGCTTACCTCTCCGCTCCCAGGCCTCTCTACTGCGCAGGTGCTTGACATTTCTGATGCTTTATCACAATGGGCTCCTCTTGCTCTCTTCATCTCTGTTTCTGACCTGCGCTATTGCAACTTCACACTGGCAAAGGGGCTCTCTTTCCAAAACATGTTAAACTCTGTCCCAGTATCCTATGATGGGTTCTCTTCACTTCCTTACAGTGATTCTCAAACTTGGATTTGCTCCAATAGAGAAATTTCCTTAAACACAGATTCCTCTTTAAGCCAATTTTCAAAAATACTCAATGTGCATTTTTAACAAGTTCTCCAGGTAACTCTACTGGCAGCTTAGTAGTTCTAATTAGGGGACTACAGTTTTAGAACTATCAAGTGAAGTTTAAATTTAGCAGTCTTTCATGTGATTCTTCTCTCTTACATACCCCTCTTTCCATGTTAGAAAGCATTTCCTAAGGCTTCTTGAAGCCTTTCTTCATCGCTCAGCTAAGCACTGTCCCCGGGTTCTAAAAAGCCTCATTTCCTTCTCACTGTTTTCATTGGTCTGCTTTCCTTACTGCACTTTGACTTCTTACAGGGGTGGGGTTTCAAATTAGTCATCTCTTTAATCTTAGTACCCACCCTTGTTCCTGATCCCTAATTGGCACATAACATAAATAAATGAATGAGTAAATGGATAAATGAGTAATCAGTGTCAGTTAAAGTATGAAAAATTGGCTGTGTATAAGGCCATTTTTCTCTATGAACTGAATAATTATATCTCGTTTAATAAAACCCTATTAAGCCTAGCTAGCACAAGCTCATCAGTGTTTGAGATAATATGAAACCAAAACACACAAATGCTGCTGCAAAAAATGTAATTATTACTTTTCCTAGTGTAGGATTCATGAACTCATTAGACATTTAGATTAATTAAATGTTGGCAGATGTTCAGAGTTTTCATTTTTTTTGTGTGCTCCTTATGGGCCAAAAATATAAAAACATATACATAGTATATCATTTTCCTCCAAAGTCAACCATTTCTTAGTGCATTTTTTTTTTTTTTTTGGCTCTGTCTTCTTTCGCAGTATCATCTTCCTTAGTGTTGGTAATTTGTTATTTTTTTCTAATGAAAATACTACAAGCTCTCAATCTCTAATCAAATCGTATTAGTTTACCACACTATGTAAATGCAAGTGGTATTTTAAATCATGTAACTTTATTTTTCCTTGTCTTACATTCATTATTCCTTTTTGGGTATAACACATTTTTCATTCTGAGATCCCACCTTTCCTTCTTTCCATGTGGTTCTCTTTTGTGAGGCTGGTGGTAGGGATGGGCATATACCAGCCTTATCCAGTTATCTATCTGATCCAAGACAGCTGGATTTTGGGTAAGAATACTGAGAACAGTGTATTCACATCCTACGTTTATAGACTGATAAAACTCAGGTCATTATTGCTACCACTGCCTGTTCAAAGCTGCTAGACATGAAGCCAACACTGGCAAGCAAAGGGGAGAGAGACATACAGAGACAGAGACAGAGACAGAGAGATAGAGAGACAGGGAGAGATAGAGAGAAAGAGAGAGAAACAGACACAAACAGAGACAGAGAAAGAAAAACAGAGAATTTGATATTGTTGAGCCTTTATATTCTGCTATTGCTGTGCGTAGATCCAATGTATTCCATGAACTTTATACATAGCTCAGAGGAAAAACAATCCTTTTTATTCTCTACCTTGCTTAAATTTGGTTTCTTCATTTACTATCAAAATTATCTTGACTACTAGGTGATTATGCCAGATTTTGCAGCATTACTGAATTTATTATTTTCTAGAAGTAGCATATAGATTGTAAAGTAACTTTTATCTTCTATAAAGCACTAGAGGTATATTTAAGTATAAGTACTTCACTAGTTTATTGTGTGATCTTAAATCATTTTTCTGTAATTGTTTCCTTGTTTACTAAAGAGTTATAATGTCCTTCTTGAAAAATTATTATTCTTGAACTATTCTAAAATATCTGATAGAGTGCCAGACCAATTGACTATTTAAAGATAATATTCCCTAGACACATATGTTGTTCTAGTACAGGATGTACATTAGGGGTGGGATGGGAGAAGAAAAGAGACAATTTGACAGACTTCAGTTTGGATCGACTCAAAACAGCCAAATAATTTTATCATATTATCATTAGCTCCTGCTGTAATTGGAAGACTATTTCGGAAATGTTAGAACAGCCCCAGTTGTCAAATTTACCAAAAGATGAAAAGAGATTGTCAGGAAAAAAAATGTATTCAAGGGGCTGGGGATTTAGCTCAGCGGCATAAGCACCTGCCTTGCAAAGCAGGCGGTTGTGAGTTCCATCCCCCGTACCGATAAAAATGAAAAAGACAAAAAAAAAAAAAAGTACTCACAAACCAGTTTCTTTTCATCAGATGGGAACCAATTGTAGTTTTAGATTGAGTTGAAGAAGGCTGAACATTTTGCAAATGTCTGTTTTGGAGAGAATGGCAACATCTGAGAAAAAAGTAGGGGAAAAAAGCAATGATACTTAACAGTCCGAGCTGCTCTAAAACTAGGACTAGTTTAATAAGAACAACAGGGTGTGTCACATTGAGTGAAATGCACACATTGGGGCCACACTGTAATCTCAAAGAACTAAGTGTACACTTCTTTTTATCTTTTATTTAAAAAAAAATCCAAGGTTCCATTTCCTGGAACATTTTTTTCTCCAGACCAACAAGGTCACCATGTCTATGTATGTCTTTCAGTTTATCTACTTATAAAGCAAGTTACTGCAACTTAATTTTTTGTTTTTTGCTTGCCAATTTGTGTTTGTTAGTTTTAGATATAAATACTTGTATTGATGGCCTACTTCTAAAACAACTCAAAGCTCCTCAAATTGAATTTTACCCAAGGCATCCTGTGTTTATACTCTGACATTTGCAGAGGATTTTTGATCTATGGAATTTCTCACCAATTTTTCCTACTACCACATAAATTTTTAAATTATAAAATTGACATAATTTAATTTAATCAGAAAATATTTACAATAAAAAGTTATTAATTTTTCCCTCTGTACTTTTCACTTTTTCTACTCCTTGGCATGCAATCTTCCATGTGTACGGTCATCTCTAGGTGTATGATACATATAAACACACACACACACACGTATAAAGCATATCTTTTTTCCTTTCTCCTCCCCTTATCCCCTGCCCCTTTTAGTTTCTCTTTCCAAAATTTGATCACACTGAAAATCAATGTCACAAACTAGTTGTCTACAGTTTAAATATATCTGGGAAAATGTTTTGTTCACAGAACACTGGGGAATTTGACACACAAAAGATGGAAGAATTTAACCTACATGTCTATCAAGTAATAATGCTACATGGGTTTTCCAGTTCAATGAGGTTAAGGGCATAATCCTGAAAGACATGAACCTGGTGCTATAATGAATAAATGTTAAAATCTTGAAAGGTCACAATCCTTAAAATCTAAATCCTTGAAAGATCAAAATCTAGGGGGGAAAAAACTTCAGAAAACGAAGAAATATTTAAAAGACATGAATTTATATTTTAGGCAGTGTTTATTTCATGTTTAAATAAAAACATGACAGAACAATCCACAGAACACATTATACAATAAACTATGTAACGTAAACATACATTTTTTGTAGGTATACTGACAATACGCAGGTATAATGGTTATAAACAGGTGAACGATAATCTTAAAAAAATGGGTCAAAGACCAAATTGTATCAATGTATGTCACTATGATTGGCAGATCTGTGCACACAGCTTTATAACTGTGGTCATTTGCCATATCATGACAATTTGAGTTGTTGGACAAGATTGACCAAAAATTGTGATGGGTCATTACTGCATAGGTCCAGGTCTTAGTAGCTTGGCTTAGGCCAAGTTCAAATGGGTCAGGCCTGGGGCAATTTGAAATCAGCTGGAGGCTGAAAGCCTGCAGGCTAGGAGAGCATTACTATAAGTCTCAGAGTTCACAGCCTGGAGTTCTGATCTGCAAAGCAGCCCAGGAAACCATCCCAGTTCTCAGAGAAAGAGCAGCTCACCTTCTGTGTTTGTTCTCTTCAGTCTGGCTGATTGGACAAAGCCCATTCATGGGCCAGAGAACAGAGCTTTCCAACTAGGTCCACTTAGACTCACAAACTAATCTAGTCCGGAAACTTCTTCAACAGATACAGTAAAGTAGTGCTTTATCATTTTTCCAGATAATCCCTTTTTCCTTCTGCTTAATGCAATCAATATTCCTATATGCAACTGAAAATGTACTATTTCCTTTCCTACAATTTGCCTTTCTACCTTATTTTTTCTCGCTGTTCTGGAAATTAAACCCAGAGCCTTTTTCACATTGACCTATACCCCCAGTTCCCTATTTTAGCTTTTGGTTTTTAAGACAGGGTCTTTCAAAGTCACTAACTTGCTCAGGCTGGACTTGAATTTGTGATCCTCTTGCCTTACTTTCCCAGAGTTCTGAGATTTCAGGTATGTATTATCACATCTGTATCTGGCTTACCCTACTTTTATTACCACACTCCCCCACTTGCTGGGAATTTTCAGAATTCTGGCTTTCAGGATTTAACCACTTGGAATTTTATTAATCTTATTAGTTTGTAGTTGGGGGATTGAAATTTTAGCATTTTAG